TTTGAATACACTATAACAATCGGAGTTTAGTAGTTCTGAATGGTTCTATTCATGAAACTTTATCAGAAACTAAATGATTTTTAAAGGTTTTATGACTCCAAAAGAAATTTACATATGAGTGCATTGCTAAATTTTAAGCGCTGTATATGATTCCGAAAATTTATTCAAACTTCAATAGTTCTTCTGTAAATGTTCAGATGAATCTGTGCTCTTAATATTACACATATTTATCATCTGTCATGACAAATATCTTGCATTCTAAAATATAAGCAATTAGAAAAAAAAACTAGAGCATATGCAAAATATGTTGCATTTCATTTCGAATTCTATTTATCAGTTTTACAATAACACAAATTACAAAATGGAAGCATGTAAGAAGATAGTTATTACTTCAGTATCATTATGTTCAGCTACTGTGTATATTTAACTTCATAGCAGAATTTCATTTGTGATGCTGATGGAAAGATACAAAAGATGAATTTTATGACTGTTTATGCGTCGAATCGTCTTTGCTGTTGCATTTGTTAAGCATTTAAAGCCAAAGAAATATGGAATAATTTTATGTGAAATTATACTCGGCAATTAAAAGTCCATTACCAGTCATTTCGAATAATAAAAAGTTATTATGATAAACGAACTTATGTAAAATGAAATGTCAGGACTATTTATAAAAGTTAATAAATGTAGAAAGTTCAACTCATGTTAACCCAACATTATCGTTAATCTTACAGCTCAACGCCTATTTTGTAATAAACTGCTTCATAAATTCTTATTTAATATGTAAAAAATGGGAAAAAAGAGGATTTTATTGAAAACTTAACAAAAAATGTATTGAGTTTAGGCAACTGTGTTGATATTTTCATTGTTTGATTTGTGGCATAACTGATTTGATTTTGTATAAGTAAAAAAAAAATCTATAAGACCTTGGCACACTTCATGGTCAGAAACATGTCAATTTTGATAAATTGGCTTTAGACAGTCAGAAACCAAGTTCATTTATTGAATTGCAGATGTCATAAAAGAACTGTATGATGAAAAGAGGAAGAAAATAAAGTCGGGATTTCGGAAATTGCTTTCCTTTTATTCATCAGATTTTTCTATTATGGTTGGTATTATGTACATAGCATATGTCATTGTGATTATCATCAATAATTGGATAAAAAAAAACAGTCTCTAAATGTGAATGGATATAAAGAGCTCAATTATTCATTCTTGGTGAACAGCATGAAAGTTTTGCAAAAAAAAAGTTTATGCATGGGAGAGAAAGGCAAACACAGACAGAGATCGTGATGGTTTTTGAGGTTATTGATTAGCTTAAATGGAAATTTTCAAGTTTTTTCTCAATTAGGAGGTAGGAACTAACAGTAGGCAATAAGGTGTGCTTGCTGGTGAATACTTTTCTACATGGAACTTCCAACTCGAATGTAACTGGTGAACAAAACAGCAATTAAGTGAGGATAATGATTTGTACTTACAACAAAAGGTTTTGTCATTGGTATCAATTGCACAATTGTCTTTCCCTTTTTTGTGATAAAAGGATTTGAGATATTTTTGTATATTTTTTATCATTCATTCATTATGTATTACACATACACATTATAGATTTTTGGTATTGTTCAAGTTTTATCGATGGATGGAAAAACATGAAATCAATCACAAAAGCGTGGTTGTCGGGTGTGAGTTGAGGAGCATTTTGAAAAAGTATAACGTTAATGGTTAGTTTTGGTTCTTTATCGATTTAAGATTATTTTTTGTTGCTATTTAATTTATGATTTAATTTCCACTCTCATATACTAAATAAATGTATCAAATAATTTGGTAAGTGACTAAGGAAGTTGGATCAAAATAAGAAAATTTATTTTTGCCTGTTTTTGTGCTCAAACTTTTCTTACGAGGGTTTTAGGGGCTTTTTCATTTAGTGTGAACTAATATTAAAGATTTCAATCAAAAAGATGCAATTTTCTAAATTAAATATTAGAGCAATATTAAAGAACTAGGAAATATTAAACTTCAACAACAATAGAAATTCAAAGCAATTGAGGTTCTTGCAGATTAAAAAGCTAAATTTCTCTTTCCTGATTTTTCAGCAATTTTCAGTTGCAGTACTTCTATTGGACTGTGAACTTTGTTAATGATTTAGTAAATTTTAACACATTCAAGAATAAAATGTTTTTCATAGTTTTCGATTTGATTTTTTAATATCAATAAAAGTTCAAATGAAAAAAAAACGTATAAAAATCTTTACATTAGTTTTCCAATAAAGAAAGGACTTGTTCAATTTGTGAAAAAAATTCTTTAAATCACTTTAAAAATTTTCAAACAAAGTTTTTGAAGAACTTTAAGATAACTTTTGAAGAAAGAGTCAGATCGAATGCGAAACAACAATGTTTGAAGAAAAAATTAGTTGACTTCTTTTTTTTATTTTTCAAGTGCATTTTGAAAGATAAAACTTCCGTCAAAAGTCGAACGATGAAGTTAAAGAAATGTGTAAGGAAAAATCAGCAACTGTTTGGTTTAGTGGTTTCAAAGTTAAGGAAATTTGAATGATCAACTGTCTCATCACGTACTTTCATCTTGCTACCATGAGTGGTCTTATCCCAATGGTATGAACTAATTTGTTCCTGTTTCCGGTAAAAAAATTAAATGAAAAGCTACGACAAAAAGAAAAATTATCATAAAAAGAGTTTTTCCTGGAGAAAAGGTTTTTTATATGATACAAAGGCTGTTAATGTTTCGTCTTCAAAAAATAAACAAGACCACTTGATTTGAATTCATCTTGAGAGTTCTTTTCTCTCTCTTGTTTGTCATTGTCATTGAAAGATTCTTAAACAAACATGTATCTTTTCTGTCTGTTCTGTTGCTTTTGATATAAGAAACAAGATGAAATAAAAATTTTCATCTCTTTCAATTTTCAGCTTAAAGAAAGTTTGCAAAAGAAAAACAAATAAAGTTTTTTCCTTCAGCCTTTCAATTTCCTCATCTTTTTATCTTTTTTTCTTGCTTATTCTTTTGGTTCGACGAATGAAACAATATTTGAAAGTTTTTTATTTTTTTCATTTTGCATGTTCAATTTATATTTCTCTCTTCAGGTGACTTTCTCATTCTATCAAACTTTCTACTCTTTATCTACCTCTTTGTTCCATCTTAAAAAGATTAAAACAGGTTCAAGTGTAAAATAAATTTAAAATTAAATGCATTCACGATGATGAAAACATCATGAATTTTTCATGAAAGGTTTGCATTTCATTTTTGACTTCCTTTATTTAAATACCAAGCTTTTTTTGAATTTATTAATTTTTTTCTGAATATATTTGACGCTTTGTGATTTTTTTAAATCAGATTAAATTGATATTTCAACAATTTTTAAAAAATTTGGTCTCAAAAATATAAATCTCATCAAGTCCAAAAGAAATTTTTTCACAAATATTTCGGATTGTTTGGCAAAAAGATAAAACCACAAATTATAAACGCTTCAATTACTTGCAGAAGGGTTGAAATTCATTAACATTAAACAAAATATGTGTTAAAACCGAAAATGGAAAATTTTGCAATTATGAAAGCCATTATCTTAATGTTTTGCAAAGAATTTAATACCGTTTAAAAAAACAATCAAATTTTTCCTAAAGTTCCAATCAAATACTTTTAATTTTCATCACTTATAAATTTATTTCAATTAAAAGTGCTGAAACAAGTAACAATAATTAATAATTTCATCCCCATAATGAAAACAATTAATTACCATGCTTCCAAATGATTAAAATTAATCTCTAAATTTTTCGGGGAAAATTTTATTTGATGTAAAATATTGAAAGTCTTTAAAATCATTCTACTTATTTATTTAATTGAACTATAAGTATCTAAGTGACTAATATGAATAATTATGATTTATTGCATTTTGACAAAAATTGAAAACTTTACGAGAAGGAATCAGAAAAATATTAACGAGAAAATAAATCATTCTTTTGGATAGAATCGTAGCTTATGGACATTAACAAAAAACGGAGATTCTTACAGATATGTCATGAAGAATAATTAGAGTTTAGTGATAAAAAAAATATTGCAATTTTTTTTGAGAAAACAAATTAAACCGCGATTTTAATCTTTAGATGTAAAATATTTTCATTAACCTACATCAAGATAATGCCAATAAAAGGACAAATAAAGGAAAAGGAAAGGAAAAGACAGAAAAATTATGAAAAAGAGCAACAACTTTATTCTACCCCTTGTTAAACAAGTTGAATTCATTTTGGTTTATGTATAAGGAAAATAAAGAAAAAAAAGAGTAAGTAAGAACTTTTAATAAAAGCTCCATTTACAATCATTAAAACTCTTCGAAAAAGAACAAAAGGAACAACAATAAAAAAATCTTTCATTTCCTGATAGGAAAAATACAATCGCTATCTCAAATAAAAATGGAGGTCTCTTTATTGTTAACTTTCTTTAGATTGTAAAGTGGGTTAAATAACATTTAAAATATAGCAGTTGGGCACAAAATGTTCAAAAAAAGTTGTGTTGTTTCTTTCATTTTAAATGCCGCTGCCATCTAAAATATACTAGACATTCATCTTTTTCCCCTTCCTTAATACCTAGTTTTCCACAACGTTAATCATTAAAGAAAAGAGAAAAAAACGACAGCACAAAAAAAGGGAACACAAAGAACCTCATGACCATAAATTTTAATTAAAAGCTAAAAAAATTCGGAAAGAATTTTTTTTCGACAGAAAGAAGGAAACAAATACAGGCAATTCAAGACAATGCACAGGCATCAAAACCACAACCAACAATGGTTTCCATACAGAACAGTTAGAAAGAAAGAAAATATAAAAAATGGAACTAAAGTATTCCTTTCTTATTATCATTATCATTATTTTTGTTATTATTAAAGTTCTTATGAGAATAGCACCTCAAAATGAAAAATAAATGTATTCAGGATAATAAAAGAAATGAACGTAAAAAGAAGCTTGTGATATGGCGAGTAAAAAGGTGGAAAGGATATTTACCTGCTGTCTCCGTCGAATGCGTTTACGAGCGACGAGAAAGATTCGCCAATAGAGGAACAAAATTGCCAATAATGGTACATAAAAACTTGATGCTGTTGCAAATATTTGATATCCAACATCTTGTGATACTAAACACTCATAATTCTCCAGTCTTTTATCCCATTCGGGATCCTTCCATCCAAACATTGGTGCAATTGATACAAGAAATGAGAGAATCCATAGGATTACAATCATTATTCCTATTCGCTTTGCCGTTCGTTGGTGGGCATAATCGATATCTGTGACAGCCCAATATCTATATTTTATTAAAAAATAGAAAATAAAAAAAGCAAAAAGACAAAAAAAAAAAGAAAAATCCGGAAACGAGAAAAAAGTGAAAAAGACAAAAAAATGAGAAGAAAAAACAGACAAGAAAAAAAGAAATGAGAAAGGTTTCAATCTTAATGGCTGATAAATATGTATTATTTCTTAAATTAGAAGAAGAGATTATCTGGGATTTAAGCGGAGCATCTTCCTATCTTTTCTTTATTCAGGCTATAGATTGCCTAATGATGCTTCTTTTTAGTGGAAAGGGAGGACACTAACACATAGCATTTTCGGATACAGTTTTGTAAATACAGATTTGTGCGTTTATGAATGTCTGCATTGTTTTGGGAATTAGCTTTTTGTTAGCATTTGCTATTAGACTTTACATGCAACACATTCATGATTTTAGTTCTGGTGATTTTAAGATTTTCGGAAACAAATTGCTTTATATGCAAGACTGCATATAATGAGTTGTATTGTTTATGAATGATAATTTGAGACAATTTTCTCCTGATGTACAGAGTAAAATTAATTGTAATTTAAATCGTTAAAAGCTTTTCCTGAAAATTGAAAAGTGGCATTTTATTCAAATTGAACTTTCATGCTTCAAATTGAATTAAATAAATTAAGCGTTAGCCAATCGATTTAGAAATTAATGACTGATCATTAAGATGTAATGAAATGAATGTGTGCTAATAAAAAATGTTCGTGCAAAATTAATTTCAACTAATTAATATTTTACAGTAAGAAAAACTTTAATACTTTAAAAACACGCGAAGAAAAATGTTGTGGCAGTAAGCTCTTTAAGGTTTTATGAATGAATGTCTGGAATTTCAAATAAATGTTCCATCCAACTATGACAGCTTAAATATGAAAAGCAAATTTTTTTCTGATATTTTACGCATACCGATCATTCAAATTTGCCATGTTCTATTTATAAATACTTCATGACGAAAATTTCATACACTTCGAAACTTAAGCAGTTAAAAATGATGTAAGATGGAAGAAGTTGACTGACATTTTTGTGTTTTAAAAATTCCAGGTAAACGTTAAAGTCAGATGAAATTATAAAATATTTTTAAAGTTTAAGGAGATGCTGAACATTAGCGACTACACCACAATTGCTGCAAAATGTTAATAGCAACTTTATATTTATGTTACTAATTGTGAAAAAACTTTTATATTTCCACCAAACTACTATTTTCTTAAGCATCTTCAACAATTTTTCTTCACATATTTTTATTGTATGTATTACTAAAATGGCAAACTTTTGCTATCTTTTGCAAGAAACATTATTTAATTTAAAGTTTCACATCAGCGATCTATTCAAATAGCTGTAAATGAGAATGATAAAAGCAAAGACTTTCTTCCCATTCCATTTATTTTTACTGGCAGATAAATGGCGAAAAGTTTCTTTTTAAAAGGATAAGAAAAAATGAATTGAGAGAAGAAAAAAAGCTTTTCGCCGCACATGGAAACTACTGGATGAGTAAGAAGAAGAAAGAAAAATCATGTTGTGTAAGTTTAAGGCGATAAATTCAATTTATATGTTCTTGTTTAAACACGAATGAATATATTCATGCAGCAGACATCAGAGTTATTCGGATTGGATTTTTAATATGCACACACATTCATGTATGAACTTTAATAATTTAAGTGGCATGAAACGGAACTTAAATTGAAATTTTATTTTATTTTTAAATTTCCACATTTGAATGTAGAAGGCAACTCAAATGATTTTTTGAATAATACTTAACATTTTTCGTGATAACTAGGAACATAAGATAGAATTTATAGAACACATCTTTTTAATCACGAAATTTTAATTATTAAAAGTGAGCGAAAAAGGAGAAAATCCTCTTACAGTTCATTAAGAAACTACTTCAATGGCAATTCCAAATTGAAATTCAAACTACATAACTTCTTCTTTCTACTTCCTTTTTCAATTTATTTATTTTTTTTTTTCTCTTTTTATTGCCGATATTCAATATATGTGTATATCAATGGGAAGGAAGACAGTAAGCAAGCCAGTAAATGAATGAATACAAATATATACAAATGTATGTGATCTAGCATATTAAATTAGCAGTCGATTGGCAGTTAGTATACAAATGCGCATTCATGTAAAGAAAGATAAAATAAATTAAGTATTATCTTTCCATCTCGTTTTATATTCAACTCCTGCACGCATACAAACAAGTTTCTTCTTTTCATTATGACGAAACTTGTTACCTTCATTAAACATTTGAAATGAACTTTTGCATGGCGAATGCGAGCAAGAAATGGACAGAAATGGAAAGCTAAGATGATAAAATAAGAAAGGAAAAAGATGGCGGGTAACATGGCAAGCATAAAATGTTAATGAAGTGTGACGCAATTAAACTCACCGATCCAGTGCGATGGCTACAAGATGGAGAATTGATGCTGTACAACAGAGGACATCAGAACTTGTCCACATATCACATAGCTCCGGCCCCAATTTCCACTATTTTATGAGACAAGATAAAATTAGTTTCATGAAAATAAGAGTGGATCGCGTGACTTAAATAGTTTTCATAAACTTCAAGTCTGTCTGGAATTTTTAAGCTTTATGAAAACTTTTTCTCACAAGATTAGTTCAATCTAATTGTAGATAGATCCATTATTGACTCTACCAGTTCAATGTTTTAGGAATCAAATTGTTATTACTCACCTCTCGAGATATCTCATAAACTGCGGATAGAGGCATCACGAGACATGCGACAAGAAGATCAGCCACAGCAAGTGATAAGATTAAATAGTTTGCTACACTTTGTAAATTTTTCTCTAAGAGTATTGCTGCTATTACAAATACATTTCCTGTACACGTTTAATTGTAAATAATTTTTCATGAGCATCAGCAGGAGTAGGGTCCAATCCAGTTATTTGAAATTACGAAACGAATGAGGAATAATAAAAGAGTATGAGAGAAAGGAAGAAAGAGAGAGAGAGAGAAAGAGTAATGTATAAATGAATGAGGAATGAAAAAAGAAAGAAAAATGAATTTGCATTGCAAATTTTATTTTCCTGCTCGATGGTAAATTCCAATCTTTGTTTTCCAATGAAAAAGAAATGACGATGAATTGAATTTTCCTCTTTTTGCTTTACGAGATTGCCCCTATGAAACATCATCAGTAACAACAGTTGTATAATGGAACAAAAAATAATAAAAATAAAAAAAACGAAGAAGAATCAAAATGAAAAAGAAAATAAGAAAGAAACAAATGGCATTGGCATTGGCAATGAGTGGTTGTGTATATGTATACAAGGATCAAAAGTAAATAGAAATGAAATAAATAAATGTATAAATAAATAAGTGTCGGAAGTGATGTGGAATAAGGCGATTGTATAATGTGACACTGTTCATATGTGACGACATGAAGTTGGAAGATGGAAGCAGATTAGAAAATTGAAACTCGATCACTAAAATTGAAATTTAAATTAGTGAAGAATGGAAAGAAAGATTTACCATGTTAAATTGAATTAAATTTTCATAGACTTGAGATTTTTTTCTAAATGTATTAAAGAATTGAATAATTTTAAGAGTGTTCAAAGCTTTTCCATGCAAGTCTGTATCATTCAATGTAAATTAACAAGCTATTTTGTAATTCAATATATTACACGCTTTTTTATGTCAATCTGATCGCATTACTTCAATATAATTTATTCAAAAATTTCAAGAGATCCAAGCCGATTTTTTCGATCGGCTAACTTGAAATTTATAGCTTCCTTTGACTCCATGTTAACAAAATATTACACAGAATCATAGTAAAGCATGTTCAGTTCTAGTGTTTGAAATTGATGTAAAATGACTTTTCCATGCCAACAAAAATTAAAACTGATTAAAGCTGAAAAAATTGGCTTAAAATCAATTTCAGTGCCCTCAACTTAGCTTTTAAAATTTTAAAAAAAAAATAAAATGATTTTTAAAAAAATCAGTTTTTACAGAACTATTAAAATCAATGATGCAAAATTATTTTTTAAACATTTGTTTACTTATTTAAAGGCAATTTAAACTTTCAACTAAACACGTGTACTTCTTTGTGAAATAATTATTTTTATTTTTGCAAAACAATTGTTTATTTAATAAACGTACAATAATTAATTTTATGAGAGGAACTAACTCTTGGAACTATTTGGTTTGAAAATTTATGTAGTACGAGTTTGAAAACCTTGATATTTAGGAAAAAAGTCAGAACTTTTTCATTTAAACAATGACTGATTGAAACACATTGTCAAAAGTTAAAAAAATTTTCCACAGCATATTTTTATAAACAAAAGCCTTATACTTTTTCAACAGCTTATTTGTGTGATTCAGTATGAGCAGGAAAATAAACAATTTAAAGGTCAAAAATCATGTTTACAACTTTAGAAAAAAAATTGAAGGCCACTTGCAAAAATCAAAAATTCATTGGATTAAAAGCATAATCAATAAAAAGTTCCTATAAAAATTTATTTCCGCGAACATGAACGCAAACACTCATAAAATTCAAAATCACTGAAATAAATCAACACTGAAGTGAGTGAATGAGATGGAGATACAGAGAAAATTTCACCGATAAATTGCAAATGTTTCTCAATAGAAGAAGCAAGGAAAAAATTGTACAAACGATTTCACATTCATACGATTTGTGAGTAAATGAAAAGCATGGTATTTGCCATATGTTGAAGTATTTATTGCAAAGCTCTTTTCAGTCTGTTGAACATTTTTCCAATCTACTCATTCCAGCATTATTTTTATTCGCTCGTATCCACAAATATTTCCTTCTCACTCTTCATTTTTCATTCTAATTGTAAGTGGATAGAAGAAAGAAATAGAAAACTTCGAAGATGCTTAGATAGATGTATGTGAATATACTCCGTTTATATAAGCAATGTGAGCTTATAGAATAAACTAGAAACATCCTGAAGAAGAACGAAGTATATCAAGGCACAATGCTATTAAATTGCACATAAATCAAAGAGATAAAAGTCACATTTCGAATTGATTTTTGCTTTAACTAATTTTGTTATTCATCCATAGTTTTTTTCTTATTCACTGAGAACATTTTAAAGACTTCCTACTTCCATTTATTTTGCACTTTTTTTTTATCAACTTTATATTGCAATCATTTGAATTCATTTGACACAGTTGCATCTTAAAAGAACATAAACAAAATTGCAAATTTTCCTACGAATTAATAGTTTATCACATAATCAAATTCATCTATAGTGCTTGTAGACGTAATTGCTCAAAGCGTACTAGATGTGTGATGTTCCGTAAAATTAATCTCAAAAAAGAAAGAAAATCTTGTTACTCGCTTAAGTGCCAATAAGCGTACGAAAATGAGTACACACATAAACCACATATCTCTCCATATATTTCGCACATCTTCCTCAAATAGCAATGATGATGACGAAAGCATAATAGATATTGTAAATGAAGGCTTCAGGCCTCAGTTCACATCTGTATATGTACATACAATAATGCATATGAAGTGTATACTTATGGAAGAAAATGTGCACATTAAGCATGTGTACTCATACATTTATCTATCTTTTCACTACATCACTATCCTCAAGCGATTTTTACATGCCGAGTGCATAATGCTTACAATTCAGTACTCAATTTTTTTTCTAGAGTAATGTTGATTAAAAAAGAAAGTGTTAATAATCAGTCAGTTTGTCTGTCACTATCTGATATGCGAGCACTGATGCAAGTTTTGGCAGACATTTGAGAAAAGCTCAGATAACATTCATACTTAATATTTCGAATGATGAAATATTTTTGCATGAATGCATAAAATAAAACAAAAAAATTCACAGAAAATGTCATTCATCTCTTTATATTTACTCTTCCTTTATATCTCTTTTTTAAATCATTATGAATGAAAAGTTTTAAGTGGATTATCCTTAGGTGAAACTTTTCACTGAATTAAGTGGAAGTAAACAGAATTCATCATAAAAAAAAGTTTGATGAAAAATAGCAAAAAGTGAAAACTTTTAATGATGGAACTTTAAGTGCTTTCGAGTTGGGGAGGAGGTCGAAGCATTGAATTTTTAATTTTTCATTCAAATGTTGCTTTATTCGTATCAATGATTAAAAACCAAGGCGTGGAAACTGTCCCAAATTTCATATTTATCCCACATATCCCAAAAATATTCAAACAAATTCTGAGCATGTATGCACGATTTTGACGTGTAATTTTAGAATATGATGGGATATCTCAATTCTAATGCATACAGGCTCAGGGATTATTTTTAACATTTTTGGGATATATGGGATAATCGGATATTTGGGATAGTCTTCATGCCTTGTTAAAAACAGAATCAATGAAAATAATATCAACAAGTTTTTCAGTGCTTTTTATTTTTAAACATTTATGAATTTTATTATTTTGTGAATTATTTTAGTCAAATACCAACTTTCTGGACATTCATCTGCACAAACAACAATGCTACTTTATTCAAAAGAAGCAGTAAATTCAAGTGGGTAAATTTCAGTAATAAAGAAAATTTATACTTGACAACAAAAGCTTTTTAAGAGATGGCATTATTAAAGTCTATTACACGAAAATACGTAACACAAGGAAATAATGTTAGGATATAAAGGACATACAATTTAGAAGCGAAGCTCTGGCAAGAAATGTTACAAATAAGATTGAAAGTTTGTTTTAGCTCTCACACAAGATCTTACAAAGCTCTTTAACCTTAATGATTATTTATTTTTATTAGTAAAACAAGAGAAAGCTTACGGTTAATGCAAATGAATATAAAATAGTACAATAATAATCTTCATCTCATTTAATGGGCGACTTGTGAAAATAAGTTAAATCAAACATTTTCCCTTCTTTCTACTACTTTTTATTATTAAATCATTTCATTGAAATTCATAAACGACTTATAGGATTTTTTATATTCCCTCTATTTTTCCGCACATTGTTCATCGAAGAGATTCCTTTTTTTTTCATTGCGTCAAGTGCCATTGAACAAAAAAGTAAGCAGAATTCTCAGTTCTTATAATGCGTAACATTACATTAAGGGGATACTCCGCAGAGAAAGCTTTAAGGACTTTAAGTAAGAACAAAAAAAGGGAAAGAAATTGAAGGAGCAACAGAAGCATCAGTAGGAAGAAAATTCAATCTGTTACTAAACAAATTTACTTTAACAGTTTTCTTTTCTCCTTTCCTTTCCCACCTCCTCAGAAATATCCGTGCACACCATTATTTTCCTATTTTTTTTGCCTTCATTCTTTGTGTATTCATCTCTCATCCTCGAACAACATCATGAACAACACACAATGGTAAGCTCAAGTAAAAGTAAAAAGTTTTATCTGCAAAAAGTGACAAAATATTTTACGAAAGATATATTTCCAATTTCCTGCTCAGAAAATTTATCAATCTTTTAGAAAAGCCTAGGCTCACTCGCATTAATCTGCCTGGATCTTTATGGCAATAATTTTTTTTTTGTTCCATGCAAAATGCTTTGACACCAATATTGGTATGTGATTTAATGTTGAAAAAATTTATGTAGCATGAACTGAATGAAAAGATCCATTCTTATTCCATGCCACTGTATTTCTTCTTACAATATTTTTTTTATGCGAGTGTACACAATTTTATCATTTTTTTCTTCTCGCCTTTCAACTTTTAAAATCTTTCCAACTACTTTTTTTCACAAGAATTTTCTCATTCTATTGAAATTATTTTCTGCTGCTTTTACTTTGAGGGGTGAAAACTTTGAAACTGTCCACTTTCACAAAACTAATCTCATTTTATTACTGTTCATTTTGAGAACCATAACCTTGACATTTCTCTTTTATTTATTTAATTTTCTCTTTA